GCTGTGTGCCAGTTCCAATTTAAGCAGCAATATGTTGTAAGAGGGAGACATTAAAGGCCATTTTATGACATACATCATCCTGGTATTTATCAGTTTGTCTTTCCCACAAAAAATAAAACAGGAGACCACCTCTCCTTTTTATGCCTATAGTGCCATGCATGGTTTAAATTGATCTGTTGCTTTTCTTGAACCCCAGTGAGTGGAATGCTGACCATTTCTCTGCCCCTGACTTATCTTTGGGTTGATAAGTTGCAGCTCCTCTGACCTTGACCTCCTTGTGCACCCCAACTTCCTGTCCTCCCCCTTTTCTGTCAAATTTGACATCCTGCAGGAAACATCTGGCACACAGCATGTTCTTGGTATGATCTTTTCAGCTTGTGCCAGAGGCACCTGGCAAGCAGCACCAGGCCATCCATTATAGTGAGAAGCAGCCAGGATGAAATAAATACCTCTAGGCAGTGAGAGATTCTCCAAAGGACACAGGCAGGACAGAGCCACCAACTCAGGCTCTGTCTACCTCATACCTGCTTTTTCAATGTGTTTAGAAAGTAGTTCTGCACTGAAGAAGTGCTAGGCCATTAAAGAACAGAAGTAACTGTATCTCTTTGGGCTTTAGACTAAGCCAAAGCCTCTTCATTTTATGGTTTAGTACTCATAACAATGATCGATTCTTTGCATGTTCTAATTCTTGGAAAAAGCTATAGAACATGGTGGAGTGGGACTCTCTTCAAATATACCTTAAATGGCCTTGGGTCTTAGGCCTGGGCTAAACTGTTCCTGTTACAGTTCCAGTCCCCGCACATCAGCATTGTGTGTCTTTTTTTTTTTTTTTTTTTATAGTTGGTAAGATTTTATTGAGCCTTTTAGATTACATGAGGTAAAAGGAAAAAGTACTCCTTAACCAATATTTTACACAGCTATACCAAAATATTTTAGATTTCTGGGACTTATACGGGACTGCATTTCTCAAAAATTGGTATCAAGTATAAACATGGGTTAACTCCTTGGATTTTCCAGTTGACTATTCCAACACAAGTTTCAAGGCCAAGTTTTATCACTGCTGATCTCTTCAGATCTGAAGAACTATTTTAATCGATGTCCACTAATTCCACTTCAAAAATAAGTTTTGCATTTGGTGGAATTTTGGCATCAGGCTGTCCTTTCTTCCCATAAGCCCATTCTGGTTCAATCTCCAGTCGAGCCTTTTCTCCTTTACTCATAGTCAAAAGTGCTTCATCCCATCCTCTGATAACTTTACCTACTCCAACCTTAAAACTTAAAGGCTTGGCACTTTTCTTCTTCTTTGAACTTGTTTGAATATTAGTATCAAAAACAGTTCCATCCTGTAGTGTTCCTGTATACCAGCAGTGAACAACATCTCCCTTTTTGGGAAAGTTTGTTTTATCCCCCTTTTTTAAAATAGATTTTGTATATTTTGGTGGACCCTCATCCAGAGTCTCTTCAGACTTGGTTTCTTTGGGTTTATCTTCATTAAGCTTCACATTTTTTACTTGCTCAGATACTTTACTTATACTTTCAGTACCTTTGAAACGCTTACTTTCAAAGAGATGGTTATAGGCTGTAACCAAATGGTCCTTATTAGCCGTCTTGGCTACGTTTTTAATGTTTCCTAATAATTTATGCTCTGCCAGAAACGAATCTGAACCGTTATCCTGCAGAAACTTGATAATGTCCTTCTTGGGCAGCTGCTCACTGCGTAGCTGCTCCACGGTCCACGCCCGCTGTGGCACGGCAGCCGCCATCTTCCCCTACTGGCGCTGCTTCACTCAGCATTGTGTGTCTTAATTCCTGGCCATTGTTTATGATCAATGCTTCCATGTCAAGTTTGGAAGGGTAAACAAGTCATTCTCTTGACCTTCTGACACTCTTTCTGACTTTGGCTTATAGCTGTCGGACTTCATTTCTCTTGTCTTTGTGGAACAAATACCTCTAAGATAATATAGGTCTATTGGAATAGTGTAGCTTCTTTGAATGAAAATTGAGGGAAGGGAGTTACAGCATGACTTCATACTGAATGGTATATTTCTGAGATACCTTTGCTCTGTTTTGGTTCTTCCCCTCAAGTGCTGGTTATGCATTAGGCAAGTACCCTACTATTGAACTACATCCCCCGCTGATGTTTTAATTGTCTAAACCTGAGTGACCTTGTATGTAGAAAAAAATAAGTGTTCTTATCACTTACCTCTGAGTGTGTATCCCCTTTCTGACTGTAAGTTGCTTTTCAAGGCATTGCTAATGGTAATGTGTGCTTATTATATCCAGTTTGCATTTCTTTTTGTGTGTATGTGCTGGTACTGGGGGTTGTACTCAGGGCTTCATGCTCTCACTTGGCTTTTTACTTATATCTGGTGTTTTACCACTTGAGCCACTTGGCTTTTTACTTATATCTGGTGTTTTACCACTTGAGCCAAACTTCTACTTCTGGCTTTTTGCTGGTTAATTGGCGTTAAAATTCTGTCAGACTTGTCTGCCCAGGCTGGCTTCAAATTGTGATCCTCAGATCTCAGCTTCTTGAATAGCTAAAATTATAGGCATGAGCCACTGGCACTCGGCTCCAGTTTCTTTGTAATGCTCATAATTTTAAGAAGTTATATTTGTTCTCATTTTAATATAGTGTTGTAAAAACTTGTGTTTTTTTTTTTTCAGCTGATAATCAGCCTCTCAGTTTTATAGCAGAGAAAGGATTTTTTTTTTAAAAGAAACATCTGAAAATATAGAATATTGCTGTATTTACCAAGTTTTGAGTTTATAATATTCTAGTAGTTTGAGTTGCTGTATACTGGCCAATAATGACTATTCCTTAGTCATGTCTAAACCAAGCCTTCACAAATAGGATTTGCTAGAGAACACTTATAGGCTGCTACAGGCTCAGGGAACAAACTAAGATAAGTAGATCTGTTTGTACAGTATGGCTGCTTTAAAAGAAAATGTTAGCTATTTGGGAAGACAGCTTATACACTCTGCTGTACATATATGATTCATGTGTGTCAAACATCTATACCCCAGGATTATCTCGAATTTATAATAAAAATGAGTTCTAATTTCATAGAGTGAAAGTTTGTGGGTTAGTTTCTACAGAGTAAGCTGAGATTCTTAGCACTTCAGTTTCTCTGAGGCCAAAATGTGTCGTGAAAGTCTTCTGAGGTTTTTTACTCTGTCTGGAATTTAGTGGTCAGTATTCTGTTAACATTCCTCATCTAGTTATAAGTCATGCCAGCCACCAATCTTCCCATGTCCTTCCCTTTCAACTAGGTATAACAGCACAACCCTTGTATAGCTTTTTCCAAGAATTAGAAGTAGCCACACCTATCAAATATGTGATGTGGGCAGCAAGACTGAGACTAAGGCCAGTGCTGTCGACTTGGCCTGCTTTTTCTGGCCTCTTAGAAACTAGATAGAGCAGGAAGCCGAGGGAACCTCCCTACCTGCATCTAGTCATCAGTCACCACACTTGGCCCTGCGAGCTGCACATTCTTTCACAGACCATTAGCTGAATGTGTGAGTATAATGTTGTTACTGTTTAGGAGATGTTTGCTAGATCCAACAGGAAATCAGTCCTTCCCTTGTTTACCTAAATTGCCAGGCCAAAATAGGCTCCCTTACTTTGCCTAAAGGAGATGAGGGAGTAGTGCAAAAGAAAGTGGAGGAGAGGAAGGAAGAAAGCACTTCTTTGTATTCACAGAAGGCACCCAGGACATGTTTCTGTTAACTCCCTGTGTTGGGATAGTTCTTAGTGGGGAGAAGAGTACTGTTATAAGTCTGTTCTGTCTGCTACCATTTATTTTGTTTTTGTAGCCTCTGTTATAAAAGTTTATAGTCCTTAGATCTTACCTTCTCTCTCCTGCCTTTTGCCCTCTAACCTGTGTTTCAGCCTGAGCCTGGGGAGGATAACTGGGGAGCAGAGTAGGCTAATACCAGTGTAAAGAAGCATATGGGGTAGAACTCTCATGAGTAGTCTTTATGCCCTGTACATCCTCTTTCCTAGCACATCCTCATTCCCAGCTTGAAGGGAGGAATAAAAACTAGAGTTAGTGTACTGGAAACCACAGACTCATAGCTGGTCTTGCCTTGGTAGGAGTCCATAATGAACAACCTTTATTGGCATTAGGATGTCAGACCTATAAGGATCATTTCTTTCTTTCTCTTTCTTTTCTTCTTTCTTTCCTTTCTTTCTCTTTCTTTCCTTTTCTTTTCTTTTCTTCTCTCTTCTTTTCTTTTCTTTTCTTTTTTTGACAGTCCTCAGGCTTGAACTCAGGGCCTGGGCACTGTACCACTTGAGCCACAACATCACTTCCAGCTTTTTCTGTTTATGTGGTACTGAGGAATTGAACCTAGGGCTTCATGCATGCTAGGCAAGCACTCTACCACTAAGCCACATTCCCAGCGGAGGATCATTTCTTTAGGTGTGAGTCAATGGAGAAAGGGTCAAGAGTTATGTCCAAGAAAAGACTATATGATTTTAAACCACTTGAGCAAGAGAATAGCAACCACATCAAGTAGAGGTGATGGCCTTTTTTAGGTTCATTCTTTTAATGTTCCCCCTCTGCTTTCTCCATAGTCTCTTCTACCAGACCTGACTTTGTGTTTCTATAGTGTGTTCTTTAACATAGGTTCTTTCTGTTGTAAAATATTTACTCAAGGCAAAGTTGACTTGGATAAAACCTGAAATTTAAGCCAATCCTAAGGTGTGTGGTGGGGGCTGGGGATTTAGCTCAGCGGAAGAGCACTCGCCTGGCGAGCACAAGGCCCTGAGTTCAGTCCTCAGCTCTGGGGGGGTAAAAAAAAAGGCTATAAAAGACCAAAAAAAAAAAAAAAATACAAGGCAACTAAGGTGTGTGGTGATCCTGAAAGATACTGGATTGCCCCAGGTATAGGACACCTTGTTTTCTTTGGCAAGAGGCCCTGACAAAGACAGAGTCTATATCACCTCAGTGCCTTTTCTGCTTGATGGCTTGCAGTTCTATAAGAGGGTCCTCTTGTGCTACTTTTATGAAATTTGTCCCTTCTCAAGCCTCGGTAACTGGGGTATTGACCCATAAGGAGATGATGGGGGGTACCAGAAGCCTGAGTTTATAGGGGTATAAGAAACACCCAAATATGTGATAGGGAAAAGACACTAAGGAACAGACACTTTGCAGAGGATAAGCGCTGAGTCCTAAAGGAAAAGAGGTAAAGCAAGAGACTGCATTCACCAATTCACTTCTCTAGTGTGACTTTGACACAGTTGTGTCTCATTGAGCTCCTATCAGAGAACTAACTCTGTTTTCTGTATACTGTGGTCCTTTATCCTCTGCTCCACTAGGACATTAGGAAAGCACCACTTAGATGGGGGAGTGGACCACAGCTCATCCCTAAGGAACTGCAGCAAGTTGAAGAAAAACTGGTTCCCCTTACAGAAGAGGAGCTCAGCTGACTGCAGCCTGGAGGCCATATTGTATGGGCCACAGGTCTTCAGGGGACAAGCCCAGAGCCATCCTGAGGAAGCAGTACCACCCGGCCTGGTGATCTTGCCGTCAAAAGGCTTCCTGAGCAGATTCTTGGTGCCACTTGGCACTAGCCCTTTTTCCTCTGAGTCAGAGCTCTGTGAAGGGCATGGCTCCAATAAGCTGAGGTATCTAGTGTGTGGGCAGAGCTGGGAGCGTGTAGTGATGACTTCAGATGAGGTTGTTCCTGAGTCGCTGTTCCTGCTCCACGGAGAGCTCTGCATTGGTTCGATATGAATCTCCTGTGGCCAAAGAAAAATAGCTAAGTAACCACCTCTTCCACAGCCCCTCTCCTTCCATGACTTTGGACCGATCTATTCTGCCCAGCTTGTCCTTGCCATCAAGTCAGTCATAGACACAGGTGCCAGTCATTCTTTATAAGCAGACCTTGATTAGGAAGAACAGGCTATTGAGTGGGAAGAACTGTGGTGGTTCTGTTCTGTTCCCACTCCAGATTCATTTTGTGTCCTTTGTTCTCTGCCTGGAGAACTGACCCCACCTGCACCACCCTGGAGGTCAGAGAGTAGAGAAAGAAGAGAGGGCAGCCATTTCTTTGCATGTTGTAGTTCTACAGTTCTGGCAGTGACGCTCTGACTATAGGCCCTGGCCAGGTTCACCATAGCTGTGGCTTTCATCTGCCTCGAGGATGCCCCTTCTCCCTTCTGATAGAAGGATCCGCAGAATTGTGTAGTTTTTCTCTTCTTAATCTGCCCTGGAGCCAGGTGCCAATGGCTTATACCTATATCCTAGCTAATTCGGGAGGTTGAGATCTGAGGACCATGGTTCAAAGCCAGCCTGGGCAGGAAAGTCTGAGACTTTTACCACCAATAAAGTACTCAGAAAAAGCTGGAAGTGGTGCTAGGGCCCAAGTGGTAAAACACTAGCCTTGAACAAAAAGAAGCTCAGGGACAGTGCCCAGACTGAAAAACAACAACAACAACAAAATCTGCCCTGGATCAATTATTCCTCACTCTCTCCTATTTATTACCAGCCATTTTTTGCAAACAAGTGAGGCTAGGAAGGTAGCTCCATAGTAGACTGCTTGCCTTGTATGTGCAAAACTCTGGCTTCAACCCCTAGCACTGCAGAAGGAAAGGAAAAAGAATAAATAATCTCCTTGTTCCCTTGACTGAAATTTATCAGTGTCCTAGAAGTTCACAAGAAAAATTCCAGAACTACCATAATTCTCCCTGGAGAGCACTTTGGTAGGTTGGATGTTCATAGCTCTGTTTTACAGAAGAACAAGAGAGGACAGTTGGGATTTCCTTACTGTCCTCAGTAAAAGTTTTGGAATCCATTGAAGCTGTCTGAAGCCAAATTCAGTGTTCTTTGTCCAGCTTCTCCCTTCTTTGTCTTCTGCACCTCTTCCTCTGTGAAAACTTTTCGGTCCCTATGTTGTTCTCTGTCTTTGTTTCTCCACATTTAGTTCATTTTTATTTGGGTTACTCATTTGATTGTGGTTATCTGTATGTCTGTACATTGTACTCAATACTGAGCTCATGTATCTTAAGAGTGCCTGGCACAGTGTTCACATGGTAATAGGCCTTAATACATGCTGACTGCAGGCTAAATTGTCCCACTTCACACCACAAATGCAAGAATGGCTGTCCTACTCACAAAGAAGATGAAGTAGAGCAGCAGCTTCCCTACTCGATTCCCTTGTTGCTTCTTTTTCCCTGTAAGTGTTTCTGTTCTCTTTGTCCTAGTCTTGGAAGCAGTGATTACAGCTGGAGGTAGGAATACAGATGGTGGGAATTCCTACAGTCGCAGGCAAAGTCATAAGAAAGGAGGAAAAGAAATGGATTGGGAAAGAAAGTTATGACAAGGCTTGAAGTGACAGGAAGATTGGAAACTTAAGTTTAAAGTCAAATAGCCTTAAAGGGTAAATAGGTGTTCAGAAGTAGTTATTGGGTGAGTTGTTGATGGTCTGACTAATTCTAGAAGTTTACCTGTGAAGATGCCAAAAGAAAGTCACCTCTGTCCCATCCCTAGCGATCTATCCATTCACTCTTGGGTGTGTATAACATCTTCCTGTGCCCTGAACCCACACAGTAGTTTCACAGTGGCCCTTGAATTACCTGTGTGGCAGTTGTGCAGCCAGATCCGCTGCCCGTCATATTTGCAACGGCAGCGCATCATGTTGTTGGAGAAATCCGACTCTGCCACCTCGTTTGTGGGGTTCACAACCACCTGGAGTGGGACGGGGGATGATAGAAGAGAAAGTTGATGTGTAAGATCCCTTCAGTCACCCCAGGAAGTAGGCATTCATGTCTCCATTTTACAGAGGGAAACAGAATATGCAATATCTATTGAATTGGGACTCACACCCAGGCCCTTGGGATCCCTACTGGAATATTCTTCCCCCAGCCTGTGTTTTCCCCCAGCAAAGCTTGGAGTGACAGGACTATGATAGAGGATTGTAAGGGGAAATGCCTTAATTTGGACTTGAAAAAGACAAGGCTCCAGTGGCTAGTCTCTGGGCCTCCTTACCTGGAAGATATAGTTCCCTGGCCTCACATCTGTGATATCCACCCACTGGCAGTCAATATCATGCCGGTAGGTATCCCAGCAGCCCACAGTCACTCCCTGCTCCCCAAAGTTGGCACATGCATAGCGCCGCTGCATTCCTGCAAGGAAAGGCACACCATGACTGAGGTGCCAAGTGGGTCCAGACACTGTTAGGAGTTTCATGTACGTTAGCATATAATCCTCACTCCAGCCCTTGTCAGCTCAGTGCAGTTAAGACCAGTTCACAGATTTGAGGCTACAGTTTCAGTTAAATGACTTGCTGAGTACCCAAAGTGTTGAACCTAGCATCATAACAATGTCTGTGACAAAAAGACGATTTCTCTAGATGTGCTCGTTAAAATTTTAAAAAAATCCTTGCTGGCCTAAGAAATGTAGCTGAGAGATTCTCACCCTACTGAACTAAATTGTCCATCTGTCCAACCCTCTGAAGATCCAGTGTATATACACCAGGTCATTCCTAAGAAATCCCTGGCCTCACCCTAGTAGACAGCAAATATTATCCAAGATAGAAACTGGTTAGCCTTCTAAAATGTGGTGCAAAGTATGTTGGGAATTTAGAGGGAATGGAGACCATTGAAGTTGATCTTTTCGGATTCCCTTGAATATTGGAGTCTGAATGTCTAGGGCTTTTAAACAGGGCCTGTTGTCCATGGCACAGAGGAATACAGTGCAAAGGGTGTCCTAGGATGCACTGATAAGAAACTGTGTACCTGTGGGACAGTTTGTGTCTTCTAGACAGAAGCTGGCCTTGTGTCCCTCGGCCACCTTGGAGCCATTGAGTGTGAGCAGGTCATAGTGGGTGAAGACCTCGATGCTGTGGTAGTGCCTGCCGAAGAAGCAGAGCTGTCAGGTCTATGGCAACAGAGGGTCTACTCTGGAGGAGTTGTTGGGGAAGAGTGAGGGACTAGGCCCCATCATTACCCAGGGAGGAAAGTTATAATAGTAGGGCAGTGCCCTTTTCCCTTCCAGACCTGAGATTAGTGTGGCCCACAGCCTACTCCATTGGCTGGCAGCAAGACACAACTGTCCCCATCACCTAGTCATAACCTGAGTAGGAGAGGTAAAATCTGCCCTGATCACCTCGGGGTAGCTGGTGCCTGGCTACAGGCCCTAGGCAGAGGTGGGAGGAAGGACCACTGGCCTAAGGAACAGCTGGGACCAAATTGCTACCACATTTTCCCATTCAGTATAATGACAACTCTTCATGCTACAGGAAAAGATGCTCATTATCTCAGGCAAGCCATTGCCCAAAGTCACTGCTCATTCCTCTCAACTTTCCCTACCCTTGGCTATGTTCTGAAGGGAAAAAAAAAAAAAAACCAGAAACTTCTTTTCCCTTCAATTTTGCCTTTGTCACAGGCTTTGTGTCTCTCCAGCCTGATAGGAAAGAATGCTCATTGTCTCCTTTCCAGCACAGTTGTTTCTTCCATTCTTTGGGGTCCTTGCTTTGTGCTATTGCAGGATCCAGCAAGCTTTGTCTGCAGTGCTAGAATCCTATTTTGGGTCTCCAGGTTTCTGGGATTCCCCAATTCTGATGACAAAGCGAGGGCCCAAACATATAAAGATTATATTAGGCCATGTTCGCAGCACCAGCTGCTGCAGCTGGCTTCTCTCTGGGACTTAATTGTGGGAAGCAAGTCCTGTGAATACCATTCGCCTAGGTACATCCAAGGAAGATAAGGGATGAAAAGGGCAGGTGGATGCTACAAGGATCCTTTGTAAACACCCCTTCCTCTTTACAGGGGTGTATGGGAAGGAAGACATGCAGAGTGCACAGTGCTCCCTGGGAAGTGTGTCTGAGGTCCTTGGGTCCTTGAGCTCTGCTGTTTGTCTCTGTCCCAAGAGTTCTAGGACCAAGGCTCTGGCGGGTACTAACCTGTGACACTGGTGCCAAATCCAGCCATGGCGTCCAATCTTGGGGCGGAAGTCTGCCCGCCCCAGGTTGTAGATCTGTGAGGAGAAGCGCAACAGGCGCCTGTGTCCGTAGGGCCAGTCCATGTGGTCAGCGGACTTGGAGAGGCAGTTCTCCTCATGAGCACAGTATAGCAGGCTGAGCGGGCGGTCCTCCAGGTAGGCTGTCTCTTGCACCAGCTGGGCATTCATGACTAGGTCGGGAGCACCTGGAGCAGAAAACAGAGTGAGAGGAAAAGGTAGAAAAGCAGCGGTCTTGCTCCTCAGCCCCAGCCCAGGCTTGCCTCCACACTAAGATCTCTGATGGGATCCCAGAAAAGGCAGTTGAGTCACGTGTGCTCTAATAACTGATGAAAGGAAGAATCCATCACTTAAAGATAGGAGATAGCTCAAGGGTCATGGTTAAGCTCATCACCTCTGGAGCCAGGCCACCAGAGTTCATGCTTGTGTCTTGTGTCGGACTACACCATTTGCCAGCTTGTGACTGCTTGGCTTTTTTGGGTGTTGTTTTTATTATCTGCAAGCTGGAGATAAGATTACAGGCAGGAATATGATAATATATGCACTGCATGTAGATCATTGTCTGCCCCACAATAAACAGGCAATGGATATAAACTACCATTTCTTTTGTAAAATGCTTTTCAGTATTTAAACTGCCTTTACATAGCTTAGTGCATACATAAAATACTCTTGAAATTTTCTGCTGATACAGAACTTCATTACTTTAGCCAATTCCCTGTCTTTGCTTCAGTGTCCAGGGTCAGCCAGAAAGGAGGGTTGGAGGAGTTTGTTTCCCAGGATGCCTGTTCCTGAGTTCTACCTGTCTGGTCTATGCTAGGATTCCCTGGTCTGTGCTCCCTCCAGATCCTGGTGTAGCCTGACTGCCACCTAAGGTATTTCCCCGTGCTTCTTTCTGAGGCCATGCTGGGCATGTCCGGTAGTTTTCTATATGTAAAAAATCCAATCTGCTGCTGCCTGGATCTCATTAAGCAGCTCAGCCTCTGCCCTCTACTCTTCCAGGGACCCTTAATCTTTGCTACCACATGTCTCTACCATTGTCCCTGTGTCAGTACAGAAATACAGAGGTTTGGAGCTGTTGCCATGTAACCTCAGTAGACAAAAGGGGCCCCTTCTCAGTCCTTGTCTGTGACAAAACACAAGGCCATAGTATAGGTATTTGGACAGTAACCCTTTATGTGGAAGGATGCAGAGTGTGCTTCAGCATGCTGAGGCCTTGGTACTGGGGAGCCGCTCTGATGCGTCACCACTCTGCAGAGGAGGGTGTGATGGGTGGGTCTGGTGCTCTGCCCTGCAGGCATTGCACTGAGAGGAAGTCTAGAGCTCCCTGAAGAGTTCAGGATGGTTTGGACTGAAGTGTGTCAGGGAAGAAGGTCAAATGGTTACTAGGGCTGGAGCCAGCCTGCCAGCTCTGAACTATATATAGTCATTTTGGCCTAGGCCATATTGGGTGGTGTCAACCGATGCTGCTGTCCTTCGAGTCTGGCTCTGTGGGAAAAGCCTCGCCACAAACTGGTCTTGTTCTTAGGTCTTCTGGGTAAATCTCAGAACTCAGGGAGAGAACGCACAGGCCTTCAGCCCCAATGTGCCTCACATTTATATATCCCATACAATGGCTCTCAAGCTATTTTCCTTACAAACAATAACATTTTGTTTACACATACACATAGTTCCAAGAAAGAAACACTATCCTTACTAAGTGTCATGCATTCATATTTTCTATTACTTTCCTTAAAAAATAAAAAACTTCCAGTCATAAGCCCCAAGTTGAAAAACCCCTGTGTATCTCTTGTCTCATATCATTTTCTCAGTTTTCATTCGCCCAGTTACTCCAAAGGGGCAGGCCAAGCTTTGCATCCTGATATAACAGAGCTGGTGCTTCCACTCCCAACCCCACCTGCGCCTGTCCACGCCCATGAGCCGCTCCTGTAACTCACTGTTCATGCAGGCTACTCCAGCTGAGAATCGCCCGGTGCCGTGGGAACAGTGCACAGGCCCGTGCCTCGGACACTGCTGCAGGGCCAGCTCTGTGCCTGAGCAGCGCACCCCGCTCATCACCACTTCTCTGGCCTCCGGCGTCCCCTGCCAGTACCAGGTGTCCTAAGAAGACAGCCAGCGTCTCCCAGTCAGAGCCAGAGAGCCACCTCGGAGGTACAACTGAGTTTTAGGCCACACCGCCCAAAATCTTCATTAATGCGAACCCTCCGCCCCCTGGGGTAGTCCATCATCGCCCATCATCACACTGGACCCCTGTAGGATTAGGAATTTCTTCCATGTATGGAGGCAAAACTTCACTCCCTATGGCTTCCACCTGATGCTGTTCCTATCCCTATCTTGGAAGACAGTCCTCTTAGAGGAGAATGAGTCTGTGCCTGCCTCCACACACAGATGCTGTTCTGGTTACCCCAGTTGCTACTCACACAGTAGATACAAGTATCTGGGGCTGGCAAGGTGGCTCAGTGGTCTAGAGCACTTGCATTGCATGCATGAGGCCCTGGGTTCAATTCCCTAGCACCACATAAGCAAAAAGAAAAAAAAGCCGAAGTGGCGCTGTGGCTCAAGTGGTAGAGCGTTAGCCTTGAGCTGAAGAGCTGAGGGACAGCACCTAGCCCAGAGTTCAAGCCTCATGACCGGACCCCCCCCCCCAAAAAAAAAGAAAGAATCTGCTTATTTTCCCCAAACTCTCATTAGCTTGGTCCAGCCCAGCATGTTTTCTTAGCTGGACCGCTGTTGTAGCCTATATGCAAGTTATGTTCAACACTCAAATGTTTTCCAGGTAGCAAAGTAAGAAAGCTTCTAAAAATCTGGGGTGCAGGTAGTAAGTCATCTTCCTATCTTTTTCTTGAACTTTGAACTTTGCACACACTCCCTTGAAAGAAACACTGCAGCCTCTCTCCCAAATTTCCTCAGTAGACAATGCGCTTTCTCTGGCCACAGAGCTTGTGTGGGCTGTTTTACTCCTCTCCCACCTCATTTGGCTGACTTCTCACCTTTCTAAAAATACAACTATGTATCTGGTTGTGTGAACACTTTACTAATAAGAGCTACCTTCCCTCAGATGTGGCTCCTCCAGTCAGCATGTCAGCTCATGGTTTCATTCTAAATTAATTGGTGAGTGAATGAATAAAGGGCCTGAAAGTTCTGGTCCTTTCCATCCAGGAGGCTGAGGTTGTGGAGAAGGAGCAAGACAGCGACCTACCTTGATGGCAAAGTTGGCAAAACCCAGGCCAAGTTGTCGACAGACCACCATGGCTTCGGTGAGCCCCCAGTGGTCGCTGCACACTGTGCCCCAACGTTGGATCCCGTTCACCTCCACCTGCACCTCCACCACGCCCTCCTCTGGGTTGCGCCCACCAGCCAAGCGCACCTGCAGTGGGTAGAGGCCTGTGAGGGATATGTGGCTATGTCTTCAATTTCTTCACTTGTTTCTCCCAGATTGCCATGGGCCTGTTCCGCCCAGGAGAAGGAGAGCACAGGACTGTGAGTCTGGAGACATGCCAGGTCAGCTGAGTGTGGCTGTAGACCAGATATTAACCCTCCCCAGGCTTGTTTCCTCTACAAAGTGAGGACAGGTTTCCAGATGGTCACTATTGTCCCTGCCCACTGGAGGAATCTGACTGTGGCTTCTTCCCTGAAATCCCACCTTCCTCCTACCTAAAATCCCACCATGAATGACACTCGAACCTCGGCATCTCTAATGCCCTCCCTGGTGCTGGCAGCCTGTGACTCTGGCCTTAGGCACCTTCTTCCTCAGCTTCAGTGAGGACCCAGGGGCGTGTGGGTAAGTGTGTGCCTAGCCATGTGTCCCTGTATCTCTAGGGCTGCAGATGAGACAAGTGACAGAAGACTTCCAGGCTGGCTCCAAAGGTGAGTGGATTGCCCAGGTGGGATTACTGGCCCTATGTTTCCTGAGTTCCCTCCCCCTGGCTCAAGGAGGTGTCCTAGGGGTGTCCCTGTGGCTCCTGGACTCCTAGCTGGAGAGATACTCAAGCCTGCACTCACCTGGTTCTGGAAGCCCATGTCAGGGATATTGCACCTGACAGAAGCATCATTTGCATGCTGACAGCCGGTCTGGGACCCTTCCAGGGTGAGGCAGTCACTGAGGGCCTGCTCATAGCCCCTGCAGCGCACCTCACTCAAGTGGATGGGCCCTAGTCCTAGGGGGGATGAGAACAGGCTGTGTGAGTTGCCACCTCTGTGGGCCACACTGTGCTTTCTCTCCCCAGAAGGGGAGACCCTTCTGAGCCTTGGCACCCCAAAGCCTCCAAGAGAGGAGACAAGACAGTGGCACATCTAGGTTCTCTGGATCTATCCTGAGCCTCCGGGCTCACCTTGACCCAGCTGGGCCCCAAAGAGGGCCTCCCGCGCAGAGCCAAAGCCGAGCTGACGACACACCACGCTGGCAGAGATGAGGTTCCATCCGTGGTCACAGACGGTGCCCCACTGGCGGTTCATGAGCACTTCCACGCGGCCCTCACCCACCTGGGCCCCAGCACGCAGGCGCACCTTCAGTTCCTGCTGGGGGAGGAGAAAAACAGCTTCACAAAGGGCAGCCAAAGGGCTTGAGCTCACTGCGACTCCAGGGCAGGGCCTTCAAGCTCCACAGTCTGAGCTGAAGCCAGGAAGGCATGCCTTCAGATCCTGCCTAGGACTTTGTGTAAGTATCACCTTGAACAAGCTGGTTTTCTCTACCTCTACTTCTTCAGTGACTAATCTGGGTGAAATGCCTCATAGGACTCACCTACTTTTGTAACAAAGAACCTGGCTCATCATCAATACCTTTAGCCTCAATGGGCTTCAGCTATGATTTAATTATTGTTTATATGGTTTCCTTGTATTCATGGCAAGTAATGTCTGCTTTCCATTTATAGTAGGGTTATAAATGATCCCTTTTAAATTAATTCCAAGGTACTCCATTCTGTAAATTGGTCCCCTCCTCTCTGGGTCCTTTCTTTTCCCCCCATTGGGCAGCAGGGTCTTGTTGAAAGTACAGGATGGGTACAGGACATCTTGGGGCTCACCTCTGTTTGGGACTCTTTGCGATGGGACTTGGCCTTCAGTGAGCGGAAATAGGGCCCTGCTACACAGCTGACTACAGCATGCATGCCACCTGGACAAGCTGGGCGTAGCTTTCCCCGTCCTGGAGCCACCTGTACCTGGCAGTTGGCCAGGTGGGGCTCTGTCCCCAGACAGTTGACCCGGTGGATCCAGAAGGAGTTCTTACTGGCCAGGCCACTGAGCCTGGAAGACAAGAGAGACTGAAGGTGAAGACTAAAGGAGGCCAAGGGAGACAGGAAGGAGGAAGGGCAAGAAACTCTTCATGCCATACCTCTTCACCTCCTCCTACCTTACGGGGACTACTACTTACCTAGACTTTGGATCCTTCATCTTCAAATTCCAGACTTTCCTATGGCAGAAGCAAGCAAATGGGGTAGGGGGTGGGCATGGGTGCAGGAATTTCACCCCCCTGCCATTCATGATCTCCTGCAGTGCTCTTTCATGTATACTAGACTTCACAGTCTGCAGACTTGTTTGCTGATCCTATGTCATTGCTAAGTTTCACAGCAGCCTTATAGGATGACCAAGTCATAAATAATCATGACACCTATTTACTGAGAAGGCAAGCAAAGTCCATGGGCTTGATCTATAGTGGGATCTCTACTGTTTGGGGCCACCTAGGGACAAGGACAAGCACTCAGATCTGCTCTCTACCCAGCCCAGATGACGGCTGTCTTCAGAGGGTGCTCTGAGAGAATTGCCCTGGGGAAAGGTCCTCTAGAGACAGGTGGAGAGGCAAGTTGAGGGCCTTGCTGGGATGGGGGTGGGAGGGGGTGAGGAGGCAGGGGGAGGACCTGCCACCCAGAGACACCCAGGCTGTAATCAGGGCTGCCTTCCTCATGGGTGGTGGGTGAGCCAACGAGGATCAGTGTGCAATTACCAGGCAGGGGGAGCCAGGGCCCATATCCCCATGACTCCCAAAGTTGGATTCATGTAGCTGCTTAGCACCCCCTTTTCCTTTAAGACCTTGGTCATCTCAGTCAGAGACACAGGGTAGAACAACCAGGGATTTGATGCTTCAGTGAAATGTGGTGCATTGATTGGGTTGGGGAAGGGGTTGCTGAAGGAGTGAGAACTTCAGAGTTCTCACTGATACAATGCCAGTGGGCTTGGGACTGGGCTTGGGACTTACTGGGCTGATGTAATCTGCTCTGACAGTTCTGCCACGTTTCTGACAGAATATTTTTTAGGTCTCCTCTTTCCAAACTGGCCCCACCCAGAGCCCTGCTAACATGCAAACCCAATCTTAGGGTTGACATCATTCATGGGAAAGTGGATTGTTCCCCAAGGCCACACAGCTAGTTAATGAGGGAGCTGAGCCCAGCAGGCAATTTGTCTATATTTTGGATGACACTGTATAGCTCTTCATTAAAATCTATCTTCTTAATCAGAGATGTAGATTTACATTCACCAAATGTTTTCATTTGGTGCAGTAGTCAATTCTGTTTTCTGACCCCTTCTAGGTATTTCTCAGGATCTCGAAGTTTACCCTTCCTCATTCATGTTAACTATTCTGAGGTATCTGTAAAACCCAGAAAGTCCAGGCCTAATCCTCTATGGAGCTGTTTCCTAATCACAGACATGAGCCCTGCCAATCCATCCCCCCAGCTCTTGCTGAACCCTGCAAGATCCCACATTCCCTCCATCTCCTACCCCAGACCATACTCACCCATGACTCCACAATCCCAGCCCCTCCTACCTGTAGTAGTAGCTGTTGACAGGTACTTCTTTAGGGAAGCCCAGCATCCCACACACCACTCTGCTGTTGTTCATGGTCCAGCCCTGGTCACACACTTGTCGCCAGTGGCCCTCATACCGTACCTCCACAGCCCCCTCGGTCACAGGGCTATGCCGCTTGGCACTGGCAAGGATGGGCTTGAGGCGCACCTCCTCCAGACGCCGGCCCTGCAGTGTGCAGAGTCACTGTGGCTCATACAGGAAGAACCTGGTCAGAGCTCTAAGTTCATCTTCTGGACCCTTTATTGCTTCAGAGCTGGAGGCATCACACAGGGTGAGTGAACAGCCGAACTTGGGTTTGACTAGGCTCTTCACTCCATCTTGTCTATTGAACTAGAGAGAGTACAGTGTGGGGTCTGTGCCCTCCTGGAGACCAAATAGGAGCTCATGAGATCTAGAAGGCGTCTCCTGGGCATGGAGTTTACCCCTGGGGCCCCCTACAGGACCCTGCCATCCTCTCCTTGAGGTGACTCAGGCCAGTGGAGTGGAGGAGGGGGGAGGGGAACCAGGGCCCTGCCCTTCCACTCCTGTTGTTTGGCTTGGGCTGTTTTTAGCTCACAGTTGTTTGTGCTGGGAAGAGGCAGCAATTGTGGCCACATCTTGTGGGTGAAGTGGTCCTCTCACTCCCCACTGCCACTTCCCTTGTGGGGAGCAGTTTCTGTGATTCCCGGCATGCCTAGCCTCTTATCCCTCTTGCCTGCCTGTATCAAGCTAGGGCCCTCTGTCCATGCACCTGCTTCAGGCCAGAACCTTCTGGATGCTACTCAGCCCAGCTCTGCTCTCTTCTTCCTCTTCCAGGCTAATTTCTAGGAAGGTCTATCTTGAACCAACCAAGTCAGGGCCTTAACAACCTCCTCACCTGGGGCCCAAGGGCATTGGAGACCTGCTCAGAGAGGTAGCCACGGTGACGCTGGGGGTGACACACCACCCCGACATCTTCAGAGTGGCTACAGTCACTGACACCCCAGCCATTAGATCCACACTGGTCCAGGCTGCTCTCAGTACCCACACAGCGCACATTGTCCAGCCAGATGGGTCCTGAGGGGGAGAGGAAGATAAGCTCAAGGATGCACAGAAAGGCAGCTGCAGCTCCATTTCTGGTTGGTACTCCATACTTATCAAGTCTCCTCCAAACGCTGAGTAGAAAATGGGGGGAAGAGGGGAGGTTGATTTTCTTTTTGGTGTCAGAATCTATTTCTGGAAAATGGCATGTAGGTGTAGTTATTAGAATTACCCATCCATCCATCCACCCACTCACCCACCCACCCATCCATCCATCCATCCATCCATCCATCCATCCATCCATCCACCCGTCTATCCACCCACCCACCCATCCATGCACTCATCCACCCACTCACCCACCCATCCATCAATCCATCTGCCCATCCATCCACCCATCCATCTACCCATCCATCCATCCATCCATCCATCCACCCATCCATCTACCCATCCATCCATCCATCCATCCATCCATCCATCCATCCATCCATCCATCCATCCATCCACACTGGCTAAGAACCCACTGTGTGACACCATTGCCACATTCAAAGATTACAATTTAGAGATGGTGATGGAGGTGGCCTCATTAGAGAAAGCTGGAGCAGGGACCATCTGCACTTGGGGCACTCAGGATGTGCTCATAGTAGCCATTTGAGATGGACATTAAGCACTGGTGAACATTTTGAAGCTTTTGTTGGAGCCCCAGTGAGCCAACCCCTGAGAGAAGCCTTCTGTCATCTCCTTGACATCCTGAGGGGCAGCACCATCACTCACCCTCCCCTTGGCCATATTTGGCACTGTGGGCCCAGGTCAAGGCAGACTCAAAGCCCAATTGGCGACAGGCCACGTTGGCTTCCTGGAGAGCGAAGTCATCGTCACATACGGTGCCCCACTGGCCCTGGTGCAGCACCTCCAGGCGACCCTCCTCTGGCCTGCTCCCTGGGCCCACCAGCCTGAGCTTCTTGTTACCCAGTGACTGTGGCCTGCTGGGAGAGGCCTGGCCTAGCAGCAGCAGTAGGAACAAGGAGATGGTGACTGGTGAGGATGATGTCATGGTGACTCCAAGGGCCTGAGGAAGGAGTAAATAATGATTACCATGTTCAATCACTACCACACGCCCCCTCAGCAATGTGCTGCAGAGTGAGAATGTCTTCAAGTGGAATCCTCCTAGGGTAGCCTCCAGTGGTTCCTCTGAGGACAAAAACTCATTGAAGAGTTACTGCCCTCTCCTATTTTTTTAAGCTCCCAGCATCCCAAGCAAAGGTATAAAATGCCACCTCCCCCATGGTTGCTGGTGGCAGGAAGGGTTATTAGAGAGCCAAGATCTGTTCCATTCATTTGTTGTGTAGCTTGGCTAAGTCTCTTTAATCTACTAGGCACTAGTTCTTTATTTCCAAGGTGAGGAGGTTGAGCCAAATATATAATATTTGCCATTGTCCCAGGGCCATCTGTCAGTGTGCTCTGTGCAGCAGACACTTTTGGAGGACTTGCTTTGGTCCAGTAGTAGGCCAGGTGCTGGGACACAGAAATAAGACATCAGCCTGGTGTGGTGTCTCACACAAAACAATTGTAGCTGGCTTACAATCCCACTTACTCAAATGAAGAGACCAGGATGATCAAGGTTCAAGGCCAGGCTAGGGAAAAAGGTTCTGAGATCTCATCTAAACCAATAAAAAGCTGGGTGTGGTGGTTCACATCTATCATCCCAGCTATTCCGGAGGTATAATAAGATTGTGATTCAAACCAGACTGGGCAAAACAAGGAACCCCTAACCAACCCCCAACTAAAGCAAAACGTGGTAAGAGAGATGGCTTAAGGGACAGAGGGTCTGTCTAGTGTGTGAGATCTTGAGGCCAAAGTCCAGTACTGAAAAAATAAAAGAAAGATAGAAATGGAAACATGAGATGCATTCCTTACCTTCATAACACACAGAGAAGAGGAATCAGGGAAGGCTTTCAAAGAAGGGCCGTGTTGAAGGAGTAAGAATTCTAGCTAGGAAAGGGGGTACTCCGGCAGAGGGGACAGGATGGGTAGAGGAGAGAAGTAGGGGAAAGAGGTGAGATTGTTCAAAAGCAGGGAGTGCCGTCTCTTACTCCCATACTGCAATGCTGGGGTCTTAGAGGGGAAGGAAGTAGAGAAGGAGGACCCAGATGATTGAGGGGTCTGAGCACCTTGTGGTGGGTTTGCCCTTCACAAATGTGTATGTGAGAGACAGAAGACAGAGAAGGAGAGGGAGACACAGAGATATGGCCTGAGTACAGACTGGGGGAATTGGGCTGCCTGGATCCAGATTCCACTGCCCTAATTAAGGTGATTTGTGATTTAGGACAATTCTGGACCTCACTGTGACCCTCTGTAAACTTATTGTAACAGTAGCACCTGCCATATATGGTTTTTGTGAAATTTAACCAGTGGATACTTGCTGAGCCTTCAGAAGAGCAGGCCTTGCATAGCATGATGTTCCTTCTCTGCATCATTCTCCAGGTTTGCTCCATTCCCTTCACGTCCCCTTAAATCTTTACATTATTGTCTTAAAATACTGGTGGTACCACTATCAGCAGAGCACTCTCCATTGCTTCCCATGTCCCTTTCCCCTCTTCACACCTGAGCCATACCAAAGTCACTTGGCCATTAGGACCCAGTGGTCACATGGGTCCTATGTGGCCAAGAGATGATCTTTCTTTCCCCCATTCCCTGGAGTCAGGATGCTCCTAACTCTCCCACAAATGGAGTTGAGTTTTCTTATGAATTCCCCCTCCATGTAGAATGAGGGCTGGCTCTAGAGGATGACGTGCTCTGAAGGGCCCCAGGGAAGGCTAAGCAGTCTGCTTTGGCTTGTGGTTGAAGTCCCACAGCATGGAGGAGGCCTTATTAGAGGCTGTGGACAGTTCCAGGCCACTAGGGCAAGGGCCAGGGGTGGGCTTCTGCTATAGGACTCTGGGCACTAGGGCAAGACAGCTCCTTCTAGGTAGTCTGCTAGGAGGAACCAAGGCATCAGCAAGGGCCAAGAATCAGACATGGGGACAACCCCTGTCTCAGCATTCCCACCTCCTATAGCTTTTGGTCACACTCAACTTTGTCTTCTCACCTTGGCTCTCATTGCTACTTCTACCTGGAGTGCCCTTTCTGTGTATCTTAGACTGTTCAACTCACACATTCTTCAATACCCAGCTCAAATACTACTACCACCTCCAGGAAGCTTTCTCAAGCCCCTGCCTTCCTGGTACTTGGAGCATTTCCTTCCTGACTCCACACATCTGTTGCCCAAGCACAGGACTAGGCTGCGAATTAACCCTCCATGGCTGGTCTTTCTCCTATGTGAGGGAGAAGGGGGTGGGATGGGAAAGAGAAGAGAGGGGAAGGAGATGTGAAGGTGGAGATGGAATGAGAAACAAAAAGAGGGGAAGAAAAGAGAAGGAAATCATTTTAAAATGCATTTACAATAGCTCTTGAATGCTCATCTCCACTTTACACACAAGATCAGGCTCAGAGAGGCAAAGGGACCTTGCCTAGCCAGGATTCCAGCAGGCTGTCTGGAAGAGGCCCAGCTCTCAAAACCTCAAATGGTGGATGTTGGGAGAGGAGGGAGAAGAGGGGAGGGAAGAGGGAATGAAATTGTACCCTGTTGGTGGTTGATTTATGACCCAGGCCATGGCTTGAAGGCCATGGTGTGGGTGCCAGCACTGAGTGCTACCAAGTGACAGATTCAAGACCCTGACAGCTCCAGGCAGAGAGGCACCTGCTCCAGGTGCTGCCAGGGGACACTGGCTCCTGCCCTGCCCTGGCCCAGTAGTAAGGGCTGGAGGAGGGCAAGGACAGGAGAAAGCACCAGGGCTTGTACTGTCCTGGGGACACCAGTTTGGGGATCACTCATAATCCCTTCTCTGTAGCAACCTGGGATGAGGTTTCTGCCTTGGGTCCTGTCCCCTCTCCAGGATTGCCAACTGAGGGCCTGGAACATTGCCAGCTGAGTTCCACCTATGGGGCTGGGGAAGGGAAGCTTGGATCCTCTGTCTCTTCCCTCCAGGCCCCCACCCTCTCTCTCACTCTCCAGCACAGTCAATGCTGGGCTGGTTAGCTAGGAAGCCCAGCTCAGTCCCCCAGGTCACAGAAGTGACATCTGAGGCTACCTCCCCTCCTCCCCTGGGTCCCCCCTGGTTGACAAATGATTACGCGTGGTATGATCACAGACTCCACACTCAGGCACCCTGGGGCCAGTGTGTACCACCCATGCAGGCCTTGGGCCAAGCCCCCTAGTTGATCACTGATCCATATAAGAGCAGGTTGTAAGCCACTCCAGGGTCCAGGGTGACTGTCCATGGGATCCCTTCCTCCATCTCTCCCATCCCCCAGCTTCCAGGGACTCCCAGAGGCCTGCAGACCCAAGAGAGGCAGAAAGATGGGCAGAAGTCAGAAGGCAAGAATCAGACCCAGGGCTAGAGGCCCAGCTGGGCGCGGAGGGGAGCTCACCAGCTGGATCGCAGACATCAGGGCAGGGTCCGGCGCCGTGGTGGAGCAGCGCTAACCGGCTTCCCGAGCCACCCTGGGGGCCTTTTATCCGCTAGTTGCCGGCCCCCAACCTGGGCCCGTGGAGGAAGCTACAGGCCCCGCCCTGGGCGCGCCAAGTGCGGGCGCCCCGCCCCGCCGGCCCTGCGCCAGGCGCGAGCTACCCGGGACAGGAGTCAGCCAGCCAGGCCGGGAAGTCCCGGGGCTCCAGGCTCCGGACCGAGCCCCCCAGGCAGCCTTTCCCCGGGGACCGGGTGAGCGCACGCCTTCCTCCTTTGCCAGAAAGGAGTCACATTCAGTTCCTCCCCGTGGGAGTACTTTGATGTCCTGGTCCAGACCTCAGGAGCTCCTGGCTGCAGGACAACGCAGGCAGCCCTGGGGGGAGGGGGAATCTCTACTTGGATGCCTTTGAGCTGAGGTGCTGCGGCTCTGCTCCCTGGTATGGCCCCGGAAGTTATTGTATGGTACTTGGGGCAAGTGGGAAGTGGTGGTCTGTCTGTGCAGTGGTCACTGAGGCCTAGGAGACAACGACGACTTTCCTGCCAAGTCATAAAGAGAAGAGGGAGCAACTGGAACCTTTCACAGAGTGGGCTGAGGTGACCCTGGGCCTTGGCAGGCTCATGGGGGAGGTGTGAGTAAGAATAGAAAGAATATCAAAATGGCTGAGAAGGGAATCCCCGCAGGAGTGCCCAGGAGCTCGAACCCTAGCCCTGTCTCCTCCCCACCGCTCCCCTCCCAGTTTCTTTCCACCCCTGGGTGTCAGCAGGATCCCCTTTATGAAATGGGCAGAGGATTCCAGCTTTTCCTTCCTAGGTACCCAGCGCAGCCCAGTTCTGTTCCCCCTTGCCCAAGCACCCTTGCGAAGGTGCATTCATTCAGCAAACCATTGATTTTCTCCTATGTGCTAGACAGGAGGCTGGAGTGTTATACACTGGCTGGGGTGAGGGAGGGGGGTCTTCCCAGTCTGGTGGAGGAGGCAGATGTGCAAACAAGGCCTGCACAAGGCAGCTTTGTGATAAGACCCCACCCCCCTCCATGGCAAGATGGATCTTTATGATCCCTGGATGAAGACTAGGACACACTGGGACCAGTGACCTGCTGTCTACCCCTGGAAGCTCATGTCTGTGATGTCCCCCCAGTGGCCCTGCCCCACCCCATACTGGGCCCAAAACATTCCCTGTGATGAATCAACAGGAAAGAATGTGCCCAGCTTCGGGTCAGTAGCAGCAGACACAGCCCAGCTCCTCCCCCAGGGACAATGAGGCAGCTGTGGACCTGGGTGCTAGGTGTGCCTGAGCCCCTCCCCATGCCCAGACACCTCTCATGCTGAGCCAGAAGCAACACAGAGGGTTCTGCCTGCTGCCAATCACCCACAGGGCCTGGCTGCCCAGAGCTAAAAATACCCTGGAGCTCAGGGGCTGGCACCCTCAGAGCCCAGTGAATGAATGGAAGTTGCCCGGAAGTCCTTAGCTTGCAAGGCTGGGCAGAGGCCCAGGCTGGCAAGCAGTGGATGGGGGACCTCCAGGAGACTTGCTATGAGTCCATCCTTTGAGAAGTGAGGGACTTGGGCTCAGGCCTAGCCCCAGGACTTACTGGTGGTAGGATTTTTCTCAGGTGTCATCTCTTCACCCCATGATGTCATGGGGGTTGGATGGTACAATTCAACTAGTTGGATTTAGATGCTCTGATCTGGCTGACATAACACTTCCTCCATTACAGATCCTCAGTCTAGTACTCATAACCCTCTACCAAACTCTGTACATGCAGGTCTGTGGCTACCTCATCTCTGAGGGCCCCTTGATGTAATTTACCCCTCAAACCAGACTCTATTACAGGCCCTGACACATAGCAAGTTTCAGTAAGTGTTTAGGGAGTAAACAAATGCACTCCTGGGAGACACAGACAACCCAGTTCTGTACTCGGGATTCAGCATATCAAGCTTCTGGGTACCATCTTATTCAATCCTTTCAAAGCCCCACAAATGGTGCTTTTATCGCTTTGAAAGTAACATAGGGATGGGACAGATGATAAAGAGGAGCACAGAGGAGTTAAATGCCATGGCCAAAGTCACACAGCTATTACTTACAGAATGTAGTGAGCCAGAACATGGAAAGGAAGTCAGGAGCTATGAAGGCACACAGGAAGGAAGCGGGGCACTGGAGGCTTCGTGGAAGAAGTGCCTGATGCCTGGGAGGATGGGTCCAGCTCCCTGAGTAGGGTGGTGGAAATGTGGGGTGAAAAAACCTACCAGTGCTTTGGAGCTGTGGTGCGGTGCACATACAGGTTCCAGCCCCCTTTGAGGATTATTCTTCCATGAAAGCTCCTTGCATGAAAGCTTTTGAAGTACAAGGTGCTGGAAAGAGTCACAAAGCTGAACCAGACACCATCTCTGCCCTCAAAAAGCTCACTGTCTAGTGGGAGCAATGGTTTAAAGACATACACAAACTGTGATATCAGGAGGCAGGATCAATGAGGAGAACAATTCATTTTGGCAAGATAGATGTTGTTTAACCAGGCTTGTATCCAGACAGGATGGGAGTCTGGTGGATTGGCAGGGGCAGTGGGTGTGTACCATCAGGAGGGAAGACCTACCAAGGAAGAGATGGTTCCTGGGGAAAAAGGAGGGACAGGAACTTGGGAGTAGAGCAAAGATGGCTAAATAGAACTTTTGTGATACGTAATGTTAACAACTCTCTCCACCCCCACCTCTCCCCCTCTCCTCCCCTGCCCCTGACCAACTTCCTTGGTTCTCTGTGAAGCTTCTGAGAAATCGCCATTACTCAGTAAGGTGTGAAATTGGCTAGGTTCATTCCAACATTTGCAGGGCCTGGGGTTAAAAGTCAAAGGAGGTCTCATGCCACATATACAGCAAAGAATTTAAGACTCATAAATCAGACTCATTGCTAAATAAAAGATGTCAACCTTGTACCTTGACAAAAATACACATTTGGAATAGCCTAGAGGATCTGATTGGACTCAAAAGTTCTCCATTCCTTGGAGTTCTTGTAATGGAACATGTTACTGTGGAAGTTTCTCCCTTGGCCTTGACCTCCATGTGGCCCACCTCTTCTCTCTCCTACCTTCTGTTCCATCAGCGCAGAACTCTGTGCACAAAGTTCTGTGGTGTCCCCTCCCTCTGGGGCACATGGAGGTACAGACAGTTCCCAGGGGAAAGAGATGGAGGCAGGCTCAGGGCTCTTGGGCAAAGAACTCCTAGAACTTGGGGTGGAGAGTTCTGCAGGGCATTTTCCCTTAGCCATGTAAAGAGGGGCCATGGTAATGCCCTCTGTGTCATGGAGAACCAGAACAAGGGACCCTGTGCCCAGGTCTAAGGGCAACGGGAGAGTTAGATTGTGTGTAGAGCTGGTAGATATGGCATGAAAGGGGGATGTGGTTAAGAGGCAGGCCCTGGGGAAGGGCAGAAGAATAAACTCATTTGACCTCTTAGGTCCAATTTGGAGCTTTACGGCTGAAAGGGGAAGGGACACTTCATGGGAAAGATGATTGAGGTCTTGATATGGGCTTACATCAATGATATAGGTGGGCAGAGGGGGTAGGAGAGAGACTTGCAGAGAGGACAGAAATCCAGGAAGGGGACAGGAGCAGCCTATGCTAACAGAGCTGTGGGCCACCAGCCAGAGCCAGGTGGGGAGCGGGAGCAGCCCAGAGCTTCCTGAGGCGAATTAGATGAGTGGAGATTGGATTGTCTGACCTGGATCTTGGGCTCTGTCTGGAGCTGGGATTTAACTCCTCACAGGTAAACCTTTGGGGGGCGGACAGGAGACTGGTAAGAGGGTTAGGGTGAAGTTAAGAAAGGATTACACTAAATTCCAGGTTTCTGAAGGCTGGGAATAGGACTCAGAGCCCCACCCCCACCCCACTTCCGCCCACCCCCCACATCCGGGATTCCCAGCACAAATGCCCATGAGTTCTCACAGATGTTTGGACTTTGGTTTTGATTTGCTACCAACAGCTTCATGCTCATCTGTTCCCCAGAGCTGTTTCCTTGTCCCTTGGGAAGACACATGCTCTCACTTCATTACTACTCCCCCTCCCCTCCATTTCTCTTGATTAACTCCTCTCCTTAAAGAGGCTGCTTTGCCATCTTTAGCACTGTCACCGCTCCTTCCCTGCCATTGCCCCTCTTCCCTCTGCCAACCCCTTCCCACCTTCCTTCCCTACAAGCCACACACCCTCTTTGAACTCCCTTCTAACCAGCTTCATCTGTGATCTGTATCCTCCCCACCTGCAAACCCCTGATTGTCTCAGCAGCTAAATACAGGCACAACACAGTGCTTAGCTTCTGTTCAAGTAAATTAAAGTCATAAATTGGGGGGGGGTAGTCTGAATGAAGACAGTGCTCCTGCCTGGAACCCCCTGGGGCCCCTTCAGAGCCGCACACTCTGCACTGACCTTCTTACCTGCCAGTAATTGAACCTCTTTTTTCCTCAAACAGCACAAGTTAAATTAAAAGGCATTTCTTATCCCTTGATGTTTTCCTGAGTCTTTTTACAGCAACAGACATAGTGATCGCATTGCCTCTTCCCATCTCTCGTGGCAGATGAGGTTACCAGGCTTTAGTGGGCTAGCCTGGGAACTGTAATACCTTCATGGTGTTTCCCATGGCCCAGAGTCTTGCTTCTTCTTGGCCCCTGGGGGAAACTCATTGATTGGAGACAGAGCCAAATGGAACACCCAAGTGTGTTAGGAGCCACTCCTGGCCTTGGACCAACTATTTGTGAATTACCTCTAGAATCGATTGAGGTATCTTGTGGGAAATATGAGTTCAGGAAGCAAGCTATTGATTAAAGAGAGCTACACCTAATCTCAAACACAGACACTTGCAGCTTAACCTTCTCTTGCATTGGAGTTTGTTGATGCAGATGTTTGTAAGCATTTTACAGAGTGTGTGTGTGTATGTGTGTGTGTGTGTATGCGCACGCGCATACATACATGCATGCCAGTCCTGGGGTTTGAAAATCTGAACTCTGTACCTGAGTGCTGTTCCTGAACTTTTTTGCTCAAGGTTAGCACTCTACCACTTGAGCCACAGTTCTACTTCT